ATGGGGGAAAGGGGGAATTGAGAATGAAAAAAGGAAAATGGAGGGGAACCTGAAAGGGAAGGCAGAGTGTCGGGGGGAAACAAAAAAAAAAAGGGAGGGGAAGGACCCCGGAAACCTGGACCTGGCAGCAGCATGAGGAGGCGTAAAGGGGCCCCCTGGCAGATTTCGGGGCCCCGGCAGCAGCAATGGAGGCCCGTAATCTGCCAGCACCCTATGACAAAATGGAACCCACCAGCGTGTGGGAGACCCAAAGTGGCACATGGCAGAGTGGGCATGGAGACAGCAGCAATGGGAGGCCTACAGGGGCCCATGAAATCGGCCTGGCAGCAGCATGAGGAGGCGGTACGGGGGCCATGGCAGATTACGGGCCTGGCAGCAGCAATGGAGGCCCGTAATCTCCAAACAACCCTATGACAAAATGGAACCCACCAGCAGTGTGAGGAGACCTGAAAGTGGGACATGGCAGAGTGTGGCGATGGAGACAGCACAATGGAGGCCGTACAGGGACCCATGAAATTCGGGCCTGGCAGCAGCATGAGGAAGGCGGTACGGGGGCCCATGGCAGATTACGGCCTGGCAGCAGCAATGGGGGCCCGTATCTGCCAGCACCCGTATGACCAAAATGGAACCCACCAACAGTGTGATGATACCTGAAAGTGGCCAACATGGCAAGAGTGTGGCGATGGAGACAGCAGCAATGGGAAGGCCGGTACAGGTACCCATGACAGATTACCAGGACCTGGCTGCAGCATGAGATGCGGAACAGGGGCACCATGGCATATTACGGGCCTGGCAGGCAGCAATGGAGGCCCCGTAATCTGCCAGCAACCCTATGAAAAAAATGCGAACCCACCAGCAGTGTGAGAGAGACCTGAAAAGTGGCAAATGGCAGAGTTGTGGCGATGGAGACAGCATCCGCAATGGGGAGGCCGAACAGGGACCCATGAGACACACTCTGGACCTGGCCAGCAGCATGAGTAAGCGGTAACAGGGGCCAAATATCATGGCAGATTTACGAGGCCTGCATCATCATTGGAGGCCCGTAATCAGCCAGCCACACCCTATGACAAAAAAATGGGGGGGGGGGGGGGGGGGGAACCCACCAGCAGTGTGAGGAGACCTAGAAAGGTGGCACCTGCTATGGCACAGTGTGGCGATGGAGACAGCAGCAATGGAGGCCGTACAGGGACCCATGAGAACACTCTGGACCTGGCAGCAGCATGAGGAGGCGTACTCCGGGGGGCCCATGGCAGATTACGGGCCTGGCAGCAGCTAATGGGAGGCCCGTAATCTGCCAGCACCCTATGACAAAAATGGAACCCACCAGCATGGTGTGAGGAGACCTGAAAGTGGCACATGGCAGAGTGTGGCGATGGAGACAGCACAATGGGGAGGCCGTACAGGGACCCATGACAGATTACTGGACCTGCAGCAGCATGAGGAGGCGGTACAGGGGCCCATGGCAGATTACGGGCCTGGCAGCGGCAGCAATGGGAGGCCCGTAATCTGCCAGCACCCTATGACAAAATGGAACCCACCAGCAGTGTGAGGAGACCTGAAAGTGGCACATGGCAGAGTGTGGCGATGGAGACAGCAGCAATGGGAGGCCGTACAGGGACCCATGACAGACTCGGGACCTGGCAGCAGCATGAGGAGGCGGTACAGGGGCCCATGGCAGATTACGGGCCTGGCAGCAGCAATGGGAGGCCCGTAATCTGCCAGCACCCAATGAAAAAATGGAAACCCACCAGCAGTGTGAGGAGACCTGAAAGTGGCACATGGCAGAGTGTGGCGATGGAGACAGCAGCAATGGGAGGCCGTACAGGGACCCATGAGACACTACTGGACCTGGCAGCAGCATGAGGAGGCGGTACAGGGGCCCATGGCAGATTACGGGCCTGGCAGCAGCAATGGGAGGCCCGTAATCTGCCAGCACCCTAATGACAAAATGGAACCCACCAGCAGTGTGAGGAGACCTGAAAGTGGCACATGGCAGAGTGTGGCGATGGAGACAGCAGCAATGGGAGGCCGTACAGGGACCCATGACAGACTCTGGACCTGGCAGCAGCATGAGGAGGCGGTACGGGGGCCCATGGCAGATTACGGGCCTGGCAGCAGCAATGGGAGGCCCGTAAATCTGCCAGCACCCTATGACAAAAATGGAACCCACCAGCAGTGTGAGGAGACCTGAAAGTGGCACATGGCAGAGTGTGGCGATGGAGACAGCAGCAATGGGAGGCCTTACAGGGACCCATGAGACACTCTGACCTGGCAGCAGCATGAGGAGGCGGTACGGGGCCCATGACAGATTACGGGCCTGGCAGCAGCAATGGGAGGCCCGTAATCTGCCAGCACCCTATGACAAAATGGAACCCACCAGCAGTGTGAGGAGACCTGAAAGTGGGCACATGGCAGAGTGTGGCGATGGAGACAGCAGCAATGGGAGGCCGTACAGGGACCCATGACAGATTACGGGCCTGGCAGCAGCATGAGGAGGCGGTACGGGGGCCCATGACAGATTACGGGCCTGGCAGCAGCAATGGGAGGCCCGTAATCTGCCAGCACCCTATGACAAAATGGAACCCACCAGCAGTGTGAGGAGACCTGAAAGTGGCACATGGCAGAGTGTGGCGATGGAGACAGCAGCAATGGGAGGCCGTACAGGGACCCATGAGAGACTCTGGACCTGGCAGCAGCATGAGGAGGCGGTACAGGGGCCCATGACAGATTACGGGCCTGGCAGCAGCAATGAGGCCCGTAATCTGCCAGCACCCTATGACAAAATGGAACCCACCAGCAGTGTGAGGAGACCTGAAAGTGGCACATGGCAGAGTGTGGCGATGGAGACAGCAGCAATGGGAGGCCGTACAGGGACCCATGACAGATTACGGGCCTGGCAGCAGCATGAGGAGGCGGTACAGGGGCCCATGACAGATTACGGGCCTGGCAGCAGCAATGGGAGGCCCGTAATCTGCCAGCACCCTATGACAAAATGGAACCCACCAGCAGTGTGAGGAGACCTGAAAGTGGCACATGGCAGAGTGTGGCGATGGAGACAGCAGCAATGGGAGGCCGTACAGGGACCCATGAGAGACTCTGGACCTGGCAGCAGCATGAGGAGGCGGTACGGGGGCCCATGGCAGATTACGGGCCTGGCAGCAGCAATGGGAGGCCCGTAATCTGCCAGCACCCTATGACAAAATGGAACACACCAGCAGTGTGAGGAGACCTGAAAGTGGCACATGGCAGAGTGTGGCGATGGAGACAGCAGCAATGGGAGGCCGTACAGGGACCCATGACAGAGACCTCGGGACCTGGCAGCAGCATGAGGAGGCGGTACAGGGGCCCATGACAGATTACGGGCCTGGCAGCAGCAATGGGAGGCCCGTAATCTGCCAGCACCCTATGACAAAATGGAACCCACCAGCAGTGTGAGGAGACCTGAAAGTGGCACATGGCAGAGTGTGGCGATGGAGACAGCAGCAATGGGAGGCCGTACAGGGACCCATGAGAGACTCTGGACCTGGCAGCAGCACGAGGAGGCGGTACGGGGGCCCATGGCAGATTACGGGCCTGGCAGCAGCAATGGGAGGCCCGTAATCTGCCAGCACCCTATGACAAAATGGAACCCCACCAGCAGTGTGAGGAGACTTGAAAGTGGCACATGGCAGAGTTAACATGTTTGGGGCATGATTCATGGCGGATTTAGTCAGTTGTGTCAGGAACTGGTGGTTTGAAATCCAGACTAATCCACGCCTGATTCATTTTCACAAACGTGAGTCTCTCCACACTTTGGGGTGGACAGTCGTGTCCTCCGCGGAGTTACAGTACCTCCTGCCGCACTAAACACGCGCTCCGATGCCACGCTACTGGCCGGGCATGACAGCCTTTCAAAGGGCAAATTCAGCTAGTTGGGGCCAAAGGTCAAGTTTCATTGCCCAGTAGTCAAGGGATTGTCTACCTCGGTTGGCAGGGTGCTGTCCAAGTAGGCCCGAGCCTGTTGTTTGAGGTCCTGCTCCAGGTCCACCTGATGCTGCTGCTGCTGCTGCGGCTGGTTAGTAGTTTCCTCACTGCGCTGGTGAAGAAAGCTACTCATCATCGACTGCAGACTGAGTGTGCAGCGGTCAGCTGCTGCTGGTGGAGCTGCCACTGCTCCTACCACCCCACCCCTCCCCTGCTGCCATGGCAGCGGAACGCGAGCGCACAGGGCCCACAGTGTCTGAGGATGGACGTTGGCGCAGAAAGGCAGAGACCAACTGACTACATAGGTGTTTTTATAGTACGTTATTTTGGCCTCCCTCTCAGCAGGTGTGAAAAAGGCCACCATTTTTGAACGGTAGCAAGGGTCCAACAAGGTGGACAGCCAAAAGTCTTCATCCCTCTGTCTGATGGTTATTATTCGGCTGTCGCTACGCAAGCAACCGAGCATGCTATGGGCCATTTGTGCCAAGGAATGCGAGGGACTCCCTGCCTCCATCTCCACAGCATACTGCCACGGTGCGTCTGGGTCCTCTGTCTCCTCCTCCTCCTCTACCAGATGCTCCTGCTCCTCCACTCCTGTCCGCTGAGTGGAAAAACCACCCATTTCACTCAATAATTCCTGAGCACCAATGTCCTCCTCTACCTCCTCCTCTCTTCCTGTCCTGCCCCCACAGGGGTCATGTGGCGTTGAGATCTGTGCGCCACGTCTACCGCACCCTGACCAGCCATTGTTAACAGCATTTGTTCCAGGACGTGCAACAGAGGAATGACGTCGTTCATCCCATAGTCCTGCCGACTCACGAATAGCGTGGCCTCCTCAAAGGGCCTGAGCAAGCGGCAGGTGTCACGCATGAGCTGCCAATGGCTGACATCTAAGTTACACAGGGGAGTACCTTTATCCGCTTGTAACATCAGGAAATCGGTGATGGCCTTTCGCTGTTCGTAAAGGCGGTCTAACATATGTAGGGTTGAATTCCACCTTGTTGCAACATCGCAGATCAGGCGATGCTGTGGAATTCCGTTCTGCCGCTGCAGCTCAAGGAGGGTGTGCTTTGCGGTGTAGGAATGGCTGAAATGCATGCAAAGTTTACGTGACATTTTAAGGATGTCTTGCAGTGGGATGGTGGATTTTAGGAACCGCTTGACAACCAGATTGAACACGTGAGCCATGCATGGCGCATGGCACAACCTTCCTTGACGCAGAGCAGACACCATGTTCTTTCCGTTGTCGGTCAACATGGTTCCGATTTTGAGTTTGCGCAGAGACAGCCATCTGTCGATTTCTCTGTTCATTACACTCAGAAGTTCCTCCCCTGTGTGACTACGTTCGCCAAGGCATACCAGGTGCAGCACAGCGTGATACCGTTGCGCCCTGCACATGTGATATGCCGGTCGGGTAATGGGACTTGGCACGGGGGTGGCGGCTGAGGACACGGCGGAAGAAGAGGTGGTAGAGGCGGACATCTTTGGTGGACCAAGGACGTGCAAACGTGGAGGCAAAAGCGGCGTGACCTGTCCAAGTTGCTGGTGCGGCTGTGCCGGCACCACGTTCACCCAGTGGGCCGTAAATGACATGTACTGTCCCTGACCGTAGTTACAGCTCCACACGTCGGCACTGCCGTGCACTTTGGCAGAGACCGACATGCTCAAAGACTGGCCCACCATCTCTTCTACATGTGAATGCAGGGCTGGCACTGCCTTTTTGGCGAAGAAATGCCGGCTTGGCACTCTCCACCGCGGCTTGGCACAAGCCATCATTTCTCGGAAAGGTGCTGAGTCCACCACTTGGAAAGGGAGGGACTGCAGCACCAGCAACTTGGACAGGAGGACGTTCAGCTTCTGCACCGTCGGTGCGTGCTCGCAAACTGTTGTCTCTTGGAAACGGATTCCAAGAAAGACTGCTGACGGAATCCGTGAAGAGGAGTAGCAGGAGAAGGAGCATCTGAACGAGCGGAAGATGCCAACGAGCGACAACTCCCCTCAGCAGAGGTGTTGGAGCCTTGACTGGCTGATAGAGGGCGATTGACGTCGGGTGACGGAGCAAGTAACGGAGCGGGTGATGGAGCGGGGGCTGGGGCAGGCAGAACCGCCGTATCTTTATCACGGTTTTCCCAGGCCACCGAATGGCGACGCTGCATATGCTGACGCAACGCTGTAGTCCCAACATGGGCCCCCTGGCCACGCTTGACTTTCTGGCCACATAGTCGACATACGGCTACGTTTACTTCCTCGGGCGGCTTGACGAAAAATTGCCACACCGCCGAGTAGGAAACTTTGCCCCTGCTACTCCTCACTGGCTGACTGCTACTTCCTCCGTGCACACCGGCACCACTACTGGCCGTGGTGGTAGGCTGCAGTGGAGCTGGTGCTCTACTCCGTGGCCGTTTGCCTCCACTGACACTGCTGCGACCCTGCTGCCTCCTGGGCAACCCACCAACTGTTTTGCTCGCTGCCAAGCTGCCACCCTCTTCTCCTGATGATGCGGAAGCAATAGCCTGATGACGACGAGGCTGCCAAGTGCGATCAGCCTCATCATCATCAATTAGGGTCTCCGCCTCACTACTAGCCCCCTCGGCTGCGTGTGGGTCAGGAGACAGACCTGTCTCTAGACCGGCTACCGAGCCACTCTCCTCGCCAGTACTTCTTCGCCTGGCTGCTGAAGAGGCTGATGTCTCCCCCCGTTCCTGACCGCCCTCTGTTAGCTCTTCTTCACTGTACAGTGGGGCTGAGCCCACAGCATGCGATACTTAGCTTGGTGAGGGAACACCAAAGGACAGGGGCAGGTAGAGGACACGTGATTTCAGTGGGCTTGCTCCCGGGCCATGCCAACTAACTAACGGTTGTGTCTGACGTACCCACCGACCGTTGGCTGTAGGTGTCAGAGGTGACCTGGGAAGAGGAAGACGACCGAGCCAACCAATCGATGACGGCAGGGTTGTCAGTAGAGACACGACCGCTGGATGACACCGGGAGCACTGGCCTCTGGCTGCGACTAGTGCTGCCTCGACCCCTTCCTCTGCTGCCACGTCTGCTCGCTCCTAAAACATGGCCTCCTCTGACACTCCTCTGCGTGTTGTCTGACATACTGTTTAATTCAACGATTCTGTGTCCCTGAGTAACGATTCTGTGTCCCTGAGTAACAGTTCTGTGTCCCTGAGTAACAGTTCTGTGTCCCTGAGTAACAATTCTGTGTCCCTGAGTAACAATTCTGTGTCCCTCAGTAACAATTCTGTGTCTGTCCCTGAGTAACAATTCTGTGTCCCTCAGTAACAATTCTGTGTCCCTCAGTAACAATTCTGTGTCTGTCCCTGAGTAACAATTCTGTGTCCCTCAGTAACAATTCTGTGTCCCTCAGTAACAATTCTGTGTCCCTCAGTAACAATTCTGTGTCTGTCCCTGAGTAACAATTCTGTGTCCCTGAGTAACTATTCTGTGTCCCTGAGTAACAATTCTGTGTCTGTCCCTCAGTAACAATTCTGTGTCCCTCAGTAACAATTCTGTGTCCCTCAGTAACAATTCTGTGTCCCTCAGTAACAATTCTCTGTCTGTCCCTGAGTAACAATTCTGTGTCCCTGAGTAACAGTTCTGTGTCCCGGAGTAACAATTCTGTGTCCCTGAGTAACAGTTCTGTGTCCCTGAGTAACAATTCTGTGTCCCTGAGTAACAATTCTGTGTCCCTCAGTAACAATTCTGTGTCCCTCAGTAACAATTCTGTGTCTGTCCCTGAGTAACAGTTCTGTGTCCCTGAGTAACAATTCTGTGTTCCTGAGTAACAATTCTGTGTCCCTGAGTAACAATTCTGTGTCCCTCAGTAACAATTCTGTGTCCCTCAGTAACAATTCTGTGTCCCTCAGTAACAATTCTGTGTCTGTCCCTGAGTAATAATTCTGTGTCCCTCAGTAACAATTCTGTGTCCCTCAGTAACAATTCTGTGTCTGTTCCTGAGTAACAATTCTGTGTCCTTGAGTAACAGTTCTGTGTCCCTGAGTAACAATTCTGTGTCCCTGAGTAACAGTTCTGTGTCCCTGAGTAACAATTGTGTCCCTGAGTAACAGTTCTGTGTCCCTGAGTAACAATTCTGTGTCCCTCAGTAACAATTCTGTGTCCCTCAGTAACAATTCTGTGTCCCTCAGTAACAATTCTGTGTCTGTCCCTGAGTAACAATTCTGTGTCCCTGAGTAACAGTTCTGTGTCCCTGAGTAACAATTCTGTGTCCCTGAGTAACAGTTCTGTGTCCCTGAGTAACAATTCTGTGTCCCTGAGTAACAATTCTGTGTCCCTGAGTAACAATTCTGTGTCCCTCAGTAACAATTCTGTGTCCCTCAGTAACAAATTCTGTGTCTGTCCCTGAGTAACAATTCTGTGTCCCTGAGTAACAGTTCTGTGTCCCTGAGTAACAATTCTGTGTCCCTGAGTAACAGTTCTGTGTCCCTGAGTAACAGTTCTGTGTCCCTGAGTATCAATTCTGTGTCCCT